TCCCCAAGATGCTTTGACGTGGATGTTCTATCCCCATTTCACAAAAGGGCAAACTAGCTTCAGAGCTGTTTAGTAACTTGCCCACACTCTTGCTGACAAGAAGGGTTTGGAGAAAGCCACAGCACAGTCAAAGACCTGATGACCTTCAAAAGGAAAGAAAAAGAAGTACAAAATTTGTGGTACCTTGTCTTATTCTAATAAAAAATAATGATATTTAGCCACAGATAATAGGAACTAATGGGGGGAGGAAATTTTTTCTTTTATGACCTACATTTCCAATAAAATTTCAGTTTTTATTAGAAAATTGAATATAAATGTTGTTTTGAATAACTGTACTACTAATAGATGTAACCCTTAAAGCCTTATTAAAGTTACAAAAAATTAATTTTAAAATGTCAATTAATTGATACACATTTGTTTTGAGGCAGGGTCTTGCTCTGTTACCCAGGTGGTAGTGCAGTGGGGCAGACACTGCTTATTGCAGCCTTGACCTCCCGGGCTCAAGCAATCCTCCTACCTCCTTTTATTTTTTGTAGAGACAAGGTCTTGCTGTATTGCCCAGGCTGGGTTCAACCGGTCCTCCCACCTCAGCCTCCCAAAGTGCTGGGATTATAGGCGTGAGCCACCCCGTGACCGACCTTTTTTTTTTTTTTTTTTTTTAAAGAGATTGAGTCTTGCTCTGTTACCCAGGTTGGAGTACAGTTGCATGAACATGGCTCACTGCAGTCTTGACCTCTTAGGTTCAAGTGACTCTCCCACCCAAGCCTCCCAGCAAGCCCTATAGTACCTGGGACTACCGGTGCGCATCACAATGCTTGGCTAATTAAAAAAATTTTTTTGTAGAGACTGGGTTGAGCTATGCTGCCCAGGCTGGTCTTGAATTCCTGGCCTCAAGCAATCCTCCAAAAGTGTTGGGATTATAGGCATGAGTGAACCACTGCACCCGGCCTGTATACATATTTGTGTTGCAAACATGTGATAGGGTGATCAATAGTAGGCTTTGAAGCATACCAATAAATTACATGTAGGATAAAACTATGGGAAGAATAGTGGGAATTATGAGAAAAGAAAAAAGAACAATGTTAAAGAAGGGTTTCTTGTGTTTTTAAAATGGATGGTGGTGGCTCTCAAATCACTGCTATTTGGGTAGGAATGGGTCAATACAAATGAAGGATGGAATTGTTTTATAAAGTGTCAATATTTACAAGACACTTGAGATTACATCCTTTGCATTTATTTAAATATATCATTGTATTTTATAATATTTCAGATGTCAACTGAAAAATGCATGAGGGGGATATACATATTTGAAATTCTTTTACAGAACACTGGAACAAAGGATTGAAAAGCAATAACCAGGTAGTTCTTGGACAATGGTTAATTTGTCCTTTTCAGCAGTGGTTAATTGCACATGCTCTCAAAGCTAGACCATCTGGGTTGAAATTATGTCCTCCTTTTCCTATTGTGTTAGGCACAGGGATGATTTTTTTTAATTTTCATTTTGAGACAGGGTCTTATTCCATTGCCCAGGCTGTGAGTGCAGTGATGCAATTATGGCTTACTGTAACCTTGGACTCCTGGCCTCAAGCAGTCCTCCCGCCTCATCCTTATCCCAAAGCCCTGGGATTACAGGCATGAGCCACTATGCCTGGCCTCTTTTTTTATTATTATTTTTTAAACTGAGGTATAATTTACACATAGAAACACACTCTTTGGCAACCTGAACACACTCCTGTAACCAGCACCCAGATCAGGAAACAGAACAGTGCCTGAATTCAGAATTCCCCCTCATGCCTGGGTGTCTTAGTCTCTCTGCTACTGATCCCACATCTCTAAAATGGGGATAATAATATCAACCCCTTGGGGTTGTTCTGAGGATTAGATGAACAAGTATCTGCAGAGCTGTCAGCACAGTGCCTGGTACAGGGCGAGTGCTACCGAAGTATTGGCTGTTGTCATGATCCCCTAGGGCCACCAAGCCAGCACCTCCGCTTCCCTTCACCTCGGCCTAACAGCCCCAGGTTCCAGGAGCTTCTGGACCCAGCAGAACCACCTTCAGGTCCCCAACACACTAGATATGGTGGAGGGTAAGTCTCCAGCTCCTTACAAGAAGGGTTTGGAGAAAGCCACAGCACAGTCAAAGACCTGATGACCTTCAGATAAGTGACACACCCAGCCCAACATGAAATGTGCACTTTATGAGCTGTGTGACACTCCACTGCCCTCAAGAGACCCAACGTCACAGAACCATCAGAAGCAGAGGGCTGGAGGTCTGTCCTGACATGTCTACCACAGAAGACACCTCTATCTCCAGCCAGGTTGGAGTCTCATGGTAAGAGTGATCATGGTGACCAACCCTGGGCCTTGGTGCTGGGCCATGAGGTGCTGGAGGGTTTTGAGCTGGGAGGCTCAGAGCAAGGTACTCATGTAGATCAGAAACTTCTTTCTTCACTGCCCCCTCCATCCTGTAAGCTGCCTCCACACCTGAGACTCTCCCACCCTCCACCAGGCTTGCTGTTTAAATGGAGCCCTGGAGGAGGCTGGGATAAGTCCTGAGCCTCTTCACCCACGCCATCCTGGCTCACCTGGATCAGCAGTTTGTAGCTACTTTAGGAGATTAGGAGAGGCCCATCTGGGAGGCTGTCTGCCTCCCCAAGATCCTCTTTTTTTTGAGACGGAGTCTCGCTCTGTCGCCTAGGCTGGAGTGCAGTGGCGCAGTCTCGGCTTACTGCAACCTCCACCTCCCGGGTCCACGCCATTCTCCTGCCTCAGCCTCCCCAGTAGCTGGGACTACAGGCGCCTGCCATCAGGTCTGGCTAATTTTTTAAAATTATTTTTAGTAGAGACAGGGTTTCACTGTGTTAGCCAGGATGGTCTTGATCTCCTGACCTCATTATCTGCCTGCCTCAGCCTCCCAAAGTGCTGGGATTACAGGTGTGAGCCACTGCACCTGGCCACCTCCTCAAGACCCTTAACTCTCACCTTGCCCACCTTCAATCCCCTCATGGTGTCTTTATCTTGGAGTTCAGTGGCCCCAACTCCCTGCAAATCCAGGATCTGAGCCATGTCTCTGGAAGTCCAGCTGCTTGGGAACAGAGCCAAGGTGTTCGGGGAGGGAGGAGAAGCAGGGACCACAGATGAGTCCCTGTACTTTCAGGGGATGCAGAGGTGAGGCCAGGGATGCCCAGAGCCCCTCAGGCTGTTCCTCTTCTGAGGATGGTGCCAGAGTTTTGTCCGTTGCCACAGCCAGGTGAGGCATCCTGGGGGAGGAACTCCTGTGCTTTGGACTACAGTCGTCCAAGTCTCCATAGCTTGGGGTCTGGGAGGAGCAAGAAAGAGGGATGCACCCCAGGCCAGGCTACAGGTTAATCCACCCTGACTTCAGGGATGGGCTCAGACAAAAATTGTACCTGACCTTCCCACACCTCAGGGTCCTGCTGCCCTGGCCCCAGCTGCAGGCTCTGTAGTCACATTCTGGGCTTTGCCAGCACCTTGCCCAGGCTAACCCTACCATGACTCTGATCATAAAGGAGGTAAGCAGAAGCCCTGGCTGCTCTGGGGCCACAGAGGCTCTGGGCCTGATGCCACACTGTGACCAAGTCGGGCTAGGGAAGGCATGCAGCTGCTTCTAGGTAAGTCCCTGGGAATCCCCTCACCTCTTACCTGTGCAGGAGGCAGAAAGCCCTGGGGTAGCCTGGGCCCTGGACTCCTCATCTCCGAGGCTATAGGAAACAAGGCCAGGTCATTGGAGGCAGGGGCTTCCAGAATGTAGCTGGCTTGGCCCTGGGGCATGGGCTGCTGGAGGAGCTGCAATATGCGGCTGAGGTCTGAGGACACGCGGGACTCCAGCCTGCCAGACAGAACCCCACAGTCAGGGTCAGGGCTGGCAAGAGCAGTTCCTGAGGGCAGCTGTCAATCTTGTAGCCTGTGTGCTTTTCCTGCTAGATGGAATGGCAGCCTGGGGCCTACCTGAAGCTATTTCCTTACTGGGATCCTCAGCCCCTGCCCAGATTCCCCTGATACACCCCTGACTCTAACACCACCAGTGAGCAGGCACCAAGCAGACAACATTCAGTCCCCAAGATGCTTTGACGTGGATGTTCTATCCCCATTTCACAAAAGGGCAAACTAGCTTCAGAGCTGTTTAGTAACTTGCCCACACTCTTGCTGGTAGGGAACAGAGCCAGAATTTGAAGCTAGACTGCTCTGCCTGTAAGCCCCCACTCTGTCACCACAGCCCTGCCATCCATAGGACACACCCCCTTTCCCTTTCCCAGGACCTGTGGAATTTGTTTCTGCACATGCTTGTGCCCCTCCCCTGAGAAGCTCCCTTGGCATGTTCCAGAGTTCGCTAGGGGAAGTCATCGGGGGAACTGTGCTTAGTGACAGGCATGGGTAGACCTGCAGCTAAACAGCCTACCCCATTCTAAAACCCACCTGGCACCCCGTGATGTCTCTGAGTCACTAGGAGGGGCTACCCATGCCCAGCCCCCAGCCCTGGCCACAGCGCACTCACCTGTTCATCTGGGCCTGGAGCTGCTCTAGCCTGGAGCCCAGCTTCAGAGGCCAACAATCTGGGTCTCCCTGAGGGGTTGGGGGGCTATGCCTTGGGGGCATTTTCTGCAGCAGCTCAGGCCAGAGGCCAGATGCATCTGAGATGCTCAGGGGAGGGGCTGCATCTGCAGGAGGGAAAGGGAAGTCTCAGATGGGCCCAGCTGGTTCCACAGGCCTGACCCTTCTCAGTAGAGCCCGTCCCCCTACCTGCCCTGGGGACACAGGGTATGAAGAGTGGCTCTCCTCACCTGGGTGCCCTGGAGCACAAGCTCCTGCCCCCATGGAGTTCTGGTTCCCAGGACCCAGGAGGTGGTAGCCCTTGGAGGGGAACTGGGGCCCCAGCTCATGGGGAGACCCTGGCAGGGTGAGGACTTTTAGCGCTGGTTTCACTGCCCAGGGAGCTGTAGCCCAGTGGCCCCCTGATGCCTTGGTGTGGAACCTCAGGGGGCTGGCTAGTCTCCTACACCCCTGGGGGTTGCATTTGAACCACAGAGCCCTCACTCTGCCTCTGAGGACACAGGCCATCAGGGCTGGGAGACTGGGGAGGAAGCAGGGCAAAGGTTCCAGCTCTGGGTCTAGAGAGGGAGCCCCTCTCCATTCATGGAGGGGTTGGCGCTGGGGAGGCAGGATGGAGAGGACATGGGAGGGGCAGGATGCTGGCCAGGGGCTGCGGGCTGGTGGGAGCGGGGGCTAGCTTTGCTCACCTGACTGGTTGTCATTGAGAAAGAAACCTTGGTGGTCTTGGCTGCCAGGAGCCTGTCGGGGGGATGAGTGGAGACCCCCGGCTGCCTTGTGGGAAACAAGAGGGTGAAGTAACAGGAACCAAAACTGGGATGGGGCCTCTTTGTTCTTCCCTGCCCTCACCCCATGGTGCTGTCACAACTAGATGAAAGAGTGACAAGCAGCTGGGCACAGCAACGATGCCCTGGGTGGCTTCCTGCAGATGGCCCAGGCCGCAGAGACCACACCCCTCCTGGCCTGGTGCCCAGCTGCTAGGCATTCTGGCTGCCTGATGGCTGGGGCCCCAAGGCAGAGTCCTTACCAGGTGTCCCCTGTGCAGATTGTGGGGGTGGGGGGAGGGGAGATACTGAGGAAGGGGTGAGGGGATGGTGTGGGGAGGGCTGTCCACAGACAGAAAGCTCACCCAGCTCCATGCTCAGGAAACTGGGCACAGGGCCCACGCCAGCAGAGTCCTCCCCTGAGGTGGAGGGGGAGGGGCGCTGGGGAAGAAACAGCCCGGGCTCTGTGTTTCCTGGCCAGGTGCACACTGCCTTCTTCCCATTAGTTCCCTCCTCTGTGATACCCTGCTCTGGGCATTCCAGGTCGGTCCTGGCTGTCTCACTCCTTGGCAAGCTTGATCTCCACATGGCTTCTCCTTTATACCTTTGTGACTTTGGCTATTTTACTTTGTGGCTCTTTATTTTTCTTGAGTTGTCAAAATCTCCTCTACTGAGGGATAAGTGTGAGTAGAGAGACAGCTTTGTCACCTCTTGGCAGCCCCTGTGCCTGGCACTGTGAGCCCTCTGGACGGGAGGCACCTTCCTTTTCAGCTTGGTGTGGTATGGTGGGAATGCCTGGGCTTTGGAGTCAGACAAATTAAATTCACATTTTGGCTCTGCCGTTTACTAGCTGAATGGCTTTGGCCAATTTATTTATTGTCTCTAATCTTCAGTTTCCTCATCTGGAAAATAGGGATAGTAATACCATTTGCAAGGAGATCATGTAAACGAAGCCCCACCCTTAGCACATAGTCAGTGCTTAATAAATAGTAGCTATCCTCATACTTAGCATGACGCCAGCCATGGTAGGCACAGAAGAAATTATGGCAAAGGTTGTAGGATGGGGTTGAAAGGAAGGGTATTGGTCAGATGGGTGCCCTCAGGCCAGGCAGGCCCAGCCCTCAGCAGGCTGCCTGGGCATTTCTACCCACCCTGGCCCACCTGGCCCTGACTCACGTCCCGCAGGTTGAAGGTGACCTCCAGCTTACTCCAGAAGCTGTCCGCAAAGGCCGGGTACATGTCCAGCACCTCTAGCAGGTCTGCCCGCTGGATCTTGTGCAGGTCGCAATAGGTCAGAGCCCGCACGTCTGCACTGGACTTGCCTGGCCGGGCATGGAGGCTGACGGGCTCCCCAAAGATGTCATTCTTCCCTGCCAGCCAGAGGGGTGGGAGTTTCTTCAGGGTCTGGCTCCATGCTCCCTTATGAGGGTCCTTTGACCATGACCTCCCCCAACCTCAGACATCCTTCTAGGCTGGGGCCTGCTGCCCAGGATCGAGCTCTGCCAATGATCCATGGCTGGATGTGCTGGCTGTGGGTGGCAGGGTGGTGGTGGTGGAGTGGCTGTTCTCTTCCTGTGCCCTTTGAGCCACACAGGCTCCTCTCACTGTCTCCAGACCCTTCAGAACCACCATCCATCAGAATCTCCCTCCTGTAGCCCACACTCTTTGGCACAGTGGGCAGGAAGGGACCCTAAAGCCTCAATGTCTGTCTCAATGTCTTCCTGCTGCTTGGCCTGCCGGTGCTGTGGAGCAGGGTGCAAGGAACCCAGGGCCAGAGCACCTAACTCTGCCAGGGCAGGGCCGGAGGCTTCTCTTTGTCTTCCCACTCCTGATTGTGGGGCCAGGTAACCAGCATGGCCCTGGTGGAGGAAGCCTGGGGAAGTTACTCCCCCTGTCTGGACCCCAGAGTCTTCATCTCTAAAACGGGTAAAACCTGATCTGCCTTGCCGACCCCACTGGACCGTTCAGGGAAGCAGATGAGGTGATGCTTGAGAAAGTGACTCAAAAAGCAACAGGCGGCTGGGCACAGTGGCTCATGCCTGTAACCCCAGCACTTTGGGAGGCTGAGGCTAGTGGATTATTTGAGGTCAGTAGTTTGAGACCAGTCTGGCCAACATGGTGAAACCCCATCTCTACTAAAAACAACAACAACAAAAACAAAAATTAGCAGGGCATGGTGGCCTGTAATCCCAGCTACTCGGGAAGCTGAGGCAGAAGAATCGCTTGAACCCGGGAGGCGGAGTTTGCTGGGAGCTGAGACTGCACCACTATACTCCAGCCTGGGCAACAGAGCGAGACTCTATCTAAAAAGCAAACAAAAAACAAAACAAAACAAAAAAGCAAGAGGCACCTGACTAGGTCCATGCAAGACAAGGCGGAAGGATGTCCCAGGGTAGACATGGGTGATGCTCAGGTATGTGGCAAGGGTACTGGGCCCTCCTGGTGCCAGGTGCTGTGCTGGCCAAAGGATATAAATATAAGATGTTGTGCCACCCATAAGGACCCCCTCAAATCCCTGCAAGATAGGTACATAAGCAGCTAACAAGTTTACAGCATGATCTGTAGAGCCCTAGAAACAGGAAGAACCAAGAGTTATGGGGCCATGGAGGAGGGAGGGGCTCCTCCTGCCAGGGGGGGCAGGGACAGAGAGGAGGGAGCTTACAGAGGAAGAGAAATGGGGGCTGTGTGGAGAGAAACAAGGACTGGCCCCCATGATAAAGGCAATCAGGGCAGAAGAAACAGCATGTGATCAGCACTGCACTGTCAGGGCCCAGGGGTGGAGAGCCCCAGGCCGGGGTGCCACAGAGCATGACTGCTTTGATTCCCACTCCCCCAGAAAGTCCAGCACCCTCAGCCTGGTGGCACTAACAGTTTAGCACAGAGGGATGGGTGGAGGCTGGGATATGTCCCCACAAGAGAACAGGATCAAAGGGCATTCACAGAAGAGAGGGCTGAGGCCTGGAGAGGGAAGGGGCTCACTAGGGCCACACATGAAAGCCTGAAGCTTGAAATCTGGGCAACACTATTATGTGATGGTTTTCCAGTAGATGAAAGATTCTGATCTAATATCTCTTTCTACTCAGGACAAAATGAGAGGTTTCATGTCTCTGACTGAGACTTAAATTGGATTAACTTCTTAATTATTAATAATAATTATCATCCCTCCCATGTGATGGCACTTTTTTTTTTTCCAAGATGGAGTCTTGCTCTGTCGCCCAGTCTGGAGTGCAGTGGCATGATCTTGGCTCACTGCAATCTCCACCTCCTGGGTTCAAGCAATTCTCTGCCTCAGCCTCCCAAGTAGCTGGGACTACAGGCACCTGCCACCACACCGGGCTAAATTTTTGTGTTTCTAGTAGAGACGGGGTTTCACCATCTTGGCCAGGCTGGTCTTGAACTCCTGACCTTGTGATCCACGCACCTCGGCCCCCCAAAGTGCTGGAATTTCAGGCGTGAGCCACCACGTCCCCAGCCGTGGACGGCACATCTAAGGTAGGCTGGGAGTGAGGGAAGGTCTCATACAGAAACCTATGCCTAAGCCCAGCCTTGGAGGACAACTGGGATCTGCTGGACTGGCACAGGGTAGGGCGCTCCAGGCAGAGTGGCAGCACATGCAAGGGCACAGATTTAGAGAACTCTAAGTAGTTTGACTGGAGCATGAAGTACCAGGCGGAGGGTGGTAGGACAGGGTGGTCGGATTGGGATAACTGGGGATGCCACGCATGGCCCATGGGGAGCCATGGAGAGATCTTGAGCAGAAGAGACAGATGTACAGATGTCTCTTTCAGGTCACTGGCAGAAGGTAGAAGACAGGCATAGGAGTAAAACAGCCGTAGGGCCATGGGAAAGGAGTTCCCAACACCTTTCCAGGAAGGACCCAAAGAGGGCTGGATCCAGGCAGGGACAGGGAGACAGGTGTGAGATGGGGAGGTATGGACAAGTCTGGCTAGTGGACAGTGGGCAGGAATGAAGTAGGATGCCCCCTTGGCTGACTGTGGCGTGGGCAATGGGCAGATGCTTCACAGTGATGGGATGCTGAAGCAGCTGGTTTTGAGGAAAGGTGATGATTTCAGATTGGGATACATTGAGTTTGATCTGCTCATAGAATACTAAGGTGGCCATGCCCAGGAAGAAATGGAATATTCTGGTCTAAGGAGACAGCGGGGCGAGGACAGAGCTCTGGGGATCCTTGTGGTACAGGTGAAGGCTGAGGCCATGGGAGCGAGGAGCAGGCCCAGGGGAGGGTGTCAGGTGAGGAGAGGAGAGCAGATCACCAGCAGGCCAGAGGAAGCAGAGGGAGAAGGGAGCCTGAGGGGTACCTGTCCAGAGGGGCTGGAGGATAGCCAGATCATGGGGACCAAAGGAGGGCGAGCCTGAAGTTGGGGTGGAGGTGAAGTCATGGGGCAGGCAAGGAAGATGAGAATCTAGGAGAGGACCCTGTGATGCTCAGAGAGGTAAAGTGACTTGCCCAAGGTCACACAGCAGGCATGTGGCAGAGGCTGCTTGTGGCCCGTCTGTCCCCCTTGCCCAGTGCTCATACCCTTCCTCCAAAGTGTCTGGCTATCCCTGTGTCTGCACTGAATGAGACTGGGGTCCCCAGCCAGGGAATCCCCCTCCACCCAGAGAGACCATTGGCCTTTCTCCCTGAACTCCCCAAGAATGCAAAAAGGTAGGAAGACCTGCCTGGGTTTCTGAGTCACACTGACAGCCCTGGAATCCCTGCCTGGCCACAGACTAGCATGATCTCCCTCAGCTTCAACTTCTCTCTCAGGAAAATGGGACCTCTGGCAGAGGGCTGTTTTAAGGATTCAGGAAGCTGGGTATATATCTCTCCCGGGTACATGCTGTGCACGTTGCTGGCCAGTAGAAGTAAAATCCTCATCAGGAAGAGGGTGACCTGGGCAGGGCATCTTCAATCCCGTCGCCTTCCATCCAATCCCCAACACAGGCCTGGTCCACTCCGCCTGACCCACCTAGGATGGCCACGACCACGTCGTCGCGCAGGATCTCGATGGAGCCTCGGGAGATGAAGTAGAGCGTGGAGAGCACATCGCCGAGGTGTACCAGCGTGTCCCCAGGCGGCGCGTGCGTGGTCTTGAACTTGACGGCTAACGCGCGCAGGCAGCCCTTGCTGGCTCCGCTGAAAGCCGGGCAGTGCTGCAGCAGCGCGCGGTGCAGGTGCAGGCAGATGTCAGCCTGCAGGCACTCTGGGAAGCCCTTCAGCACCTGCAAGGCGGGCGGCCACGTCCAGCGGGGCGCGGCCGGGGTGGGGCTAGGGGAGAGGGTGGGGAGGGCTCTGGGGACGCCCCGCCCCCGCAGGATCTTGGCCTCCCCCGGGCATTGGCCAGAGCGGCGGGGCTCACCGCGTTCATGTCAATGCCATTGGTGTAGGACCAGGCGTGCTGGAAGTACTCCTCCAGGCGCTGGCGCAGCGGGTTGGGGATCTGGTGGAAGCGGATGAACTCCTTGACGCGCAGCATCTGCGTGTGGTAGCGCGCGGTGCCCGAGTACAGGCGCTGGATGATCGCGGACACGTTCCCGAAGATGCTGGCGTACATCAGGGCTGGGGGCGGGGCGGGGCGGGGAGGGGAGTGAGCTCCTCCGCGGCCCCACTGGGCCTGAGCTTACCCCGGCCTTCCTCTTTCCAGCAGCTCCCTGGTGAGGGACCCCTCTGTCCAGGGAGAAGTCAGGAGTGACCAGGGCAGAGCCAGGGCACATGGGGAACAAAGGCCCCTGGGCTTCCTGCCCTCCTACCTATGCCCTGTGCCCTGTGCCTCTTGGCATCTTACTGGGCCCAGCGGTCAAACACCCGAGAAGAAAGAAGGAAGGCAATGGATTTTTGTTTTTTTTTTTTTTTTGAGACAGAGTCTCGCTCTGTCGCCCGGGCTGGAGTGCAGTGGCCGGATCTCAGCTCACTGCAAGCTCCGCCTCCCGGGTTCACGCCATTCTCCTGTCTCAGCCTCCCGAGTAGCTGGGACTACAGGCGCCCGCCAACTCACCCGGCTAGGTTTTTTTTGTATTTTTTAGTAGAGACGGGGTTTCACCGTGTTAGCCAGGATGGTCTCGATCTCCTGACCTCGTGATCCGCCCGTCTCGGCCTCCCAAAGTGCTGGGATTACAGGCTTGAGCCACCGCGCCCGGCTGGCAATGGATTTTTAAAGTTCAGATCTGCTTTCTCCTTTAAGTTGTAAAAATACAATGAAAAGAAAAGTCTCCGCCGGGTGTGGTAGCTCAGGCCTGTAATCCCAGCACTTTGGGAGGCTGAGGTGGGCAGATCACCTGAGGTCAGGAGTTCGAGACCAACCCAGACAACATGGTGAAACCCCGTCTCTACCAAAAAAATACAAAAATTATCCGGGCGTGGTGGTGCCTGCCTGTAATCCCAGCTACTCGGGAGGCTGAGGCATGAGAATCGCTTGAACCCAGCAGGCAGAGGTTGCAGTGAGCCAAGACTGTGCCACTGAGCTCCAGCCTGGGCAACAGAATGAGACCGTCTCAAAAAAAACAAAAACAACAAAAAAGAGCAATCTCAATTTCTTGTTTTCACCCATTTTCTTCCCTTGTTTTTGTTTTTTTGGGCTTTCACATCTCTAAATACTCTGAACATGACAACTCAATCTATGTGTAAAATTCCATGCTGCCTCTTGTGTTCCTAAACTAGGTATCTTGGGAGGCAGGCAGCTGGGAGCAGGGATAGAGAGCAGCACAGCCTTGGAGCCGAACCCCTGGGCTGGGATCCGGTCACTCGGACATTTCCTAGCTGTGTGCCCTCTGGCAATTTAGCACTATCTGGGTTCTTTCTTTGTAAACTGGGCTCAGAAGGAAATGAAATGTGGGCTTTTGTAAAGGGTTTAAAAGAGTGCCTGGCAGAGCTGGCTTCATGTGTGCAACCCGTGTGGACACACGGGGCCGCATGCTAAGAGCCCTGCATTTGGTTTAATACTCTGCTGTCACTGTCGAAAAATTCTTTTTTTTTTTTTGAGAGGGAGTCTTGCTCTGTCGCCCAGGGGAGTGCAGTGGCGCCATCTCGGCTCACTGCAAGCTCCGCCTCCCGGGTTCAAGCTATTCTCCTGCCTCAGCCTCCTGAGTAGCTAGGATTACAGGCGTGCGCCACCATGCTAATGTTTGTATTTTTAGTAGAGATGGGGTTTCACCATGTTGGTCAGGCTGGTCTCAAACTCCTGACCTCATGATTCGCCCACCTCGGCCTCCCAAAGTGCTGGGATTACAGGCATGAGCCACCGCACCCGGTGAAAAATTCTTAATAATTTTTTTTTCTTTTTTGAGATGGAGTCTCACTCTGTCACCTAAGCTGAAGTCAAGTGGCACGATCTCGGCTCACTGCAACCTCTGCCTCCCAGGTTCAAGTGATTCTCCTGCCTCAGTCTCCTGAGTAGCTGGCATTATAGGCATGTGCCACCACACCTGGCTAATTTTTTGTATTTTTTAGTAGAGATGGGGTTTCACCATGTTGGCCAGGCTGGTCTTGAACTCTTGACCTCGGGTGATCCACCTGCCTTGGTGTCCCAGAGTGCTGGGATTACCAGACTTGAGCCACCACACTTGGCCGATTCTTAATAATTTTTAAACAAGGGTCCCTACATTTTCATTTTGCTCTGGGCCCTGCAAATTATGTAGCCTGTCTTGGTGCCTGGCAGATAGCATAGACTGTGTGGGTGTTACATTTTGTGTACAATTGGTGCACACGCCAGCAAAAATTCATTGTGCTGCACACTTAGGATCAGTGTACTGCATGAATTGTTGCTATGTGTTATGTTCTATCTCAGTACAAAACTACAAATAAAATTTCACAGGTAAGGCCAGAGCATGAAGTTAGGCCATGGCATGAGGTCTCACTCACAGCCAATGAGCATGACGCAGATGGAGAAGACCTTCTCGGAGTTGGTGTTGGGTGAGACATTGCCGAAGCCCACACTGGTAAGGCTGCTGAAGGTGAAGTAGAGGGCTGTGACATACTTGTCCTGCACCGAGGGGCCCGAGGCTGGGTCGCTGCTGTTGTAGCGCTTGCCAAGCTGCACACCCAGGCTGTCCAGCCAGCCGATCTTGTGTTCCAGGTAGGGCCGCTCCACATTGCCGATGGCGTACCAGATGCAGGCCAGCCAGTGCGCAATGAGCGCAAAGGTGCACATGAGCAAGAAGAGCACAGCCGCCCCGTACTCAGAGTAGCGGTCCAACTTCCGTGCCACGCGCACCAGCCGCAGCAGCCGCGCTGTCTTCAATAGCCCGATCAGGGTTGTGGTCTGGAGGGGTAGGGAAATGGTAACAGGGCTGGGGTCAGCCCTTGGATGGGTGCCTGCTTTTGTTCACTCATGCATACAACCACATAGTCATTCAACAAACCTTTATGGAGAACCTGCTCCGGGCCACGCACTTGGCAGTGTAGCACGGTATGGGACATTAAGGATCTCAGCCTAAAGCTCAAAATAGTGTTCTGGTTGCTAGGACAGAAGTCCAGTGGGAGCACAGAGGAAGAGGAGGTCAAGTCTGCAGAGGCAGGTCAGGGGAAGCTTCATGGATGAGGTGACACATGAGGTGAGCCTAGAGAGAGGAGGCTAGGGCTCCAGGCAGACGGGAGGGAGAGGGAAAGGGCACTCCTGGCTCAAGGAGCAGCACGAGCAATGGCACTGAGGTGTGAAGTGCGTGGCCCACATGGGAAACCGAGCGTGGCACTACAGCCTGGTGCGCATATGGAACATGGAGGAGCAGGGAGAGCCGTGCCCAGGAAGGGCAGGGCGGGCAGGGGCCCTGTGGGCTTCAGGGTCCATCACCAGCTTGGCTTCTATTCTGTAGGCCTTGGGGAGCCACTGAAAATTCTGAGGACCCTGTACATCCCAGAAGGTGGAACACAGGGTCAAGTAAGCGATCTGAAACTTGCTGTGGCAGTTGTGTGGAGGGGCGGGAGGCTGGCAAGTTTGGTGATGGGACACGGATGAGTACGAAGGCCACTCAGTGTCCAGGTGGGGGCAGCGGGGTAGGAGGGTGGATTTGCTGTGTCTTACGGGGGCTTGGAGGAGAGGAGCCCTGCTGGACAGCCCCTGCTGGACAGGCTGGGGTGAGGAGGGGGTACTGGAACACAGAAGGCAGAGTCGATTTCAGTGAAAAGCTGATCCTGAGGAGAGTGGGCAAGAGGAGACCGTGGGACTGGAAGCTATGAGAAAGGCATGTAGATGCCTTCATGTCACCTATGGGCAGCCGGGTGGGCATAGTGGAGGGCTAGGGGGCGAGGTGGGACCCAGGGTGCACTGGGGAGTGGCCTGGGGATCCCTTTCTCCCTCCAGGGTGAGTGCAGTTTGGAAGTGAGCATGAGGGGCCGGGACCACATGAGTGCCCATCCTGGAATGGGCAGCCTGCTCCTCTTACCAGGGCCTACTCGGAGAGGGGGCAGAGGGGCAGAGGCCTGGGGGTGCAGCCTCGGCAGGTCCTTTTCCAGGGCTGGGAGGTGACATGTTAGGGGCCTCCTCTCCACCTCCACGTGCTTCAGCAAAAGTGCCCAGTGCCAGGTATTCTCCGCACCTAGTGCTGTGCAGCAGGGAGGGCTTGAGGCCAGCGTGCAGAGGACAGCCACAGCTGCTGGCCTGGAGAGGGTCTGCTCACCTCATCGGAGCCGGTGCGGAAGATCAGGAGGTCAAAAGGGATGGCGGCCACCATGTCGATGAGGAACCAGCCCTTGAAGTAGTGGACGGCGATGCGGCGGGGGTGGCTGACCACCTCATCATTGGTGTTGACGTAGGTGGTGCGGAAGTTGATGACGATGTCCACGACGAACATGATGTCCACGATGAGATCCACCACAGTGAGGGGACTGCAGGTATATCCACAGGCCCCACGCCGCGATTCGTCCTGGTCGCTGAGCAGGAAGGCAGCTGAATAGGGTGTGAAGACAGCCGTGTAGATGACCAGCAGCAGGATGAGCCAGTCCCACACGGCCTTGAAGGGGCTGTAATGCAGGATGGTCCAGCGGTGGATGCGCGGCGCCTGCAGCTTGTACTCAGGCAGCACATCCGCGCCCAGGGACAGGACCTAGGGGTGGGGCCGAGGGTGGTCAGGTCGGGGGCAGCCACAGCTAGTGAGACCAGCCTAGAGGGCTGAGGCCTGGGGAAGGTGTAGTGGGAGAGGGTGGATGACCATGGCTCTGGTGGGCAGAGGGGATGAGGGAGAGACAGGGTGGGGGATGTCTGAGAAGGCTGGTTCCTAAGGGGACAGATGCCTTGGGAGGAAGTGCAGAGAAAGGAGTTGGGATGCAAGAGGAGGGATATGGCTCTGCCCCATAGCGACCCCAGGTTTGATGCTCACAAGCTGCCTTGGAAACATCCTGGAGGGGGTGGAGCCAGGGCAGGGGAGGGCCAGGCCCATGGTCATCTGTGGGCCCATTCTACGCAAGAGCCCACTGAAGGGGTAACTGGTGGGCTGATCCTCTCTGGTGGGCTTGGGAGGCCCCCTGTGGTCAGGGTTCCTGAAGGGAACAGGTCACCCCTAGAAGAGCGTCTTCCTTTCTGAGGGCCCTGGGGAGGCTGGACCAGTGAGTGCCCTCTCTGGGACCAACTCAGAGCCTCTCATGGAAATAGTCCATGGGGTAGGGGTGCAGCCAACCTGGACCCTCAACAGGTCCTGGGCAAAGGAAAACTGACTCCTCCCCACACATGTCCAAGAGTTTGGAACATCACCTTCTGCAGAGACCTCACTTCTCCCTTCTCCCCTCCCGCCCTCACCTCCAAGACTGTGATCAACCCAGGATCTCTAGGCCCAGCTGCCCAACACGAGAGGCAGCCAGGGCATTAGGAAGGGCATGGGTACTGAAGCCAGGCCTCCCCGGTTGAATCCCAGGTGTGACACGTGCTATAGGTGAGCCTTACGCAAGTTTTGTAACCTCTGTGAGCCTCAGTTCCCTCATCTGCAAAATGAAATCACAAAGGACAACAAAAGCCACGGGTAGTGAGGAAATGAGATGCATCTGTTCTCATGTAGTTAGTGAGATGCATCTATTCTCATGGAGATGGCACGCGCTGCTCTACACAGCAATTCCCCGTCCACCCTCCTGCTCCCTCATCCTCATCAGACACTGCTCCAGACAAGGATGGAGCCGGAAGGGTGTTCCATGGACCTCCTCTCCCACCAGATGAGATCTGGTGGATGGTTCAGGTTTAGGAAAATTTGCAATGTAAGGTTTGACCTTGGAAACAAAATCAATTAGGAGGTGGGATCACAATAAGGCAGATCCATTTGGTTTCAACCAGAGGGTCCCTATCTGACATCCAAACCCTTGAGCGCAGCTACCATGTCCCCACCCTGCAGTGACCTGCTCAGCCTTGAGGCCTCACTTCGTACTTCCCCAGGAAGCCCCCTCTGAATCCACATAGACTTGGGCTCTTTTTTGATTTTCTCCCTGTCCCTGTATCTACCCAGCTGCATGGTGGTGCTCCACTGAGTCATGGGCTCACTGAGTTTGGCTCCCTTGCCGGCCCTCTCCTCCCTGTGTGCCCAGCTCTTGGTCCACATGAGCTCTCAACTGCAGGTCCCTGAATGAGCACTGGAAACTGGGGCTCCCTGATCAGGAGCAGCTGCCGTCACACCCTGGGTATCAGAGGCCACTAGGACCCTGTTAGGGTGAAACAAGGCCCTTCCCTAGGCCTGCCTGGGTGGGGAGTGGGAGGGAGACAGAAGGAATGGTGGGGGGTGGTTTCAAGTAGGCTGAGAGGAGAGTTCCTCAGCTCCTCAGGGCCCCCAGACAGGGGGACCCCCAAAATCTCCCACTGCCTCCAAAGCCAGCTTGAGGGCCCTTTGTGGCAAAGCCCACCCTGCCCAAGTCCCCCAGAGGTGCAAGGCCCTCAGGACACCCAGGCTCTGGTGTGAGGCCACAGCCGTCGAAGCTCTTCAAGTTCTGGTTGAGGCCGATGTGACTTCCCTGATCTGGGTCCTCGCCTGCCCTTTCCCCTGAGATCTGTCAGGCACCTCCCTGGACCTAAGACCCACATGGAGTAGGGGAGTGATGCCAAGAGGGGCCAAGCTGAGGAACAAACAGGGGCAGGCAGATTGGGCAGGTGCCGGGACTATGAGCCCAGCCAGGCCTGGCTGTCTTCACCAACTACTTTCCAGTTTAACAGCCCCCACCATGGCAGCCACCAACAGTGGCATCAACCTAAGATGCCCTGGGGTAAGCAGCTGGGGGGCTTCCCAGGGTCAGGCCTTTGGGCCACTCTGCCTGACCTCATAGGGCACAGTCCTACAGCCTGGCGTCCTGCCCTCCTTGGGATCCTTGAGCTCAGTGAGGTGCTGAGTGGTTTCCCCACACCTGGTTCCAGCAGCAACTGTGCTTCAGGTGAAAACAGGCAGGAGGGAAAAGAGCTGCCTCCAGCCCCAACACAGGGACAGCTGGGAAAGGAAAGCTGGGAGCAGGCCACTCTGGGCTCTGCATTGCTCAACCTTGGCCTGGACCCCTGGCTACGGCTTATAGCTTTGTCTGTCTCCTGGGGCCAGAACTACTCAATGTCAAATGGGTCCCCAGAGACCATTTAGTCAACGTCTCTCCTGCACATGAAAGCCCTGAGGTCTAGAAAGGGGGCTGGTAGTTTCCCCGGCCAAGATCACACAGGGAGTCAGTGCCAGGACTGTGGTCACTGGAGCCTCCAGCAGGGCTCCTTGCATTTCCCTCTGGAATGGTTAGGCCTTCTTCCAGCCTCATGAAAAAGGACAGCAGGGTGAGCTGGAGCAGAGGACCCACGGAAGCCTGCCTTGGGGTGGCCAAGGAGGAGCTGCAGGGGTCCTTCAGGGCCTGGCCCCCAGGAAGCTGATTAAAGATAGCTGGAGGTGCCAGCCCTGCCCTGCCCCACCCTGCCTGTGTTCACATTGGAAGGAAGTAGGGAGGGTGGCTTTTGTCTCAAAGGCAAGGGGATGGCACAAGGCTGGGACCCCCCCATGCCAGCTCTCCTCTCAGTTTGGCCCTGGCATGTCACCTCTCTGCCTTTCCTTCCCTGTGACAGGCTGAGCCTTGGGCAGGACCCCGTGGTAGCCTGCATGTCCACTCGCTGCCCTGGCTTCTCCAGGCCTAGGCGTCAGCATCGTTCACAGGCCCTGCTGACCCCAGCCTCCTCTGGCTCCAGGAGCTGGGCACAACGGCTGTGACCTCAGGCAGACCTGTAGGTCTTTAAGTCTCAAACAGGACAGGACACCTGGGGCTCGAACCAGATATTAGAGGCTGGACAGGCAGGATCTCTTTACCGGCCAAGGCCCCAGAAGGGCCTGGGCCCAGAGCCTGGGAGAGGACCCTGGAGGCCTGGCACAGCTCCGCACACCCTGCTCTGCAGGCCCGCACCTGGGTGACCTTCTCAGTAACGTTCTGTGTCCGCTCCACCACCTTATGGGGCGCGATGATCTCAATCTCCGTGGTGGAGCTGGAGCGATGCTTCTCCAAGTTGAACTCCACGAAGTTGAGCGTGAACTGCGGGATCTGGCTGATGGTCCTGTACTTGCCCCTGCCTGTGCCTGGCCCTGGTCCGCCCGGCCTGCCGTGAGAGCCCTCTGAAACCAGGGCCAGAAGTCAGAGCAGCCAGGACCAGGGGACCCTCATGCGTCCCTCCCACCGCCACCTTCACCCTGCCTCACCGGAGCCCAGGAAGCTCTGGGACAATAGGCGCTGGGACAAGCTGCGGCTGCTGCGCTTGGCCAGGAGCTGGGCCAGGTCCTCGAAGTTGAGGATGAACATGATGACGGCCCCGTCCTCATTCTTCACGGGCACCACGTCCACCAGGCAGCGGAAGCTGGAGGCTGCAAACACCATTGGGGGGATGGGGAGTGGGCCCTGAAGGAGTCCCCTCCTGCAGTGATCTGGCTAGGGAAGGGGCTGAGTGAAGGTCAAGTGAAGGGCAGCCACTGGGGTGAAGAGGCCTGGACAGTGACCAGAGCTACTGGGCAGAGGGTAGGTAAGGCTGAGCAGCTGGTGCTCCACCCACAGGGCAGAGGTGGGGAGAGCGGCTAAGCTGCTCATTAGGAGATAAGGTAGCATCAGATCAGGCCCAAGTCCACGCTCGGCCATCAGCTCAGAGCTTAACCTCAAGGTCTGCTTCTGCTGTAATTAAAGCTGAGCAGATGGGGGTGGATTAAGTGGGGAGGTGAGGCTGGGCATTCTACCCCATGGAGTTGGGTTGGCCCTGGGCTCTCTTCTCATATTCCCATCCTGCAAAGATGCCCTGCTCCTGTGATGCGGGGAGGAATTCGTTGTTGAAAGTACACTAAGTGCTGGGCATGGGGCCAGCTGGAATGTTTGGCCTCAGGAGGTCCCTGAGGGGCAGGCATGGACCCCCATTCTGCAGAAGAGAGCCTGGGGTTCTCAGAAACTGACTTTCAAGGGCTGGGAGGGAGCATGGAGAGAGGATCCCTGGTTTTGCAGGATGCAATAGCTTGGAAAAGGGAAGGAACTTGTTTAGGAGGCGGGTGCTGGGGCCAGAACCAGGCTGCTGCTCTGGGCCTAGGAGGAGTGTGAGGTCCCAAGGCAGGGCTGGGCCCAGGGAGTAGGCAGAGCAGTGGCCTGGGCACCAGAAACGGAGGAGGATGTCCATGTGGGGACAAGGCAGGCCCCTCCAGCCACCTTTCCCATCATCTTGGGCAACCCACACCCAGCAGCTGGCTGCCCTGTGCCTCTCAGGCTATAGACTCTGCCCCTTCAGGGTCTCGCTGCAGCCCCCTTCGGTGGGTGGAACAATACCAGTTAAAATGTCCCATACCTGGTCAGGCGCGGTGGCTCATGCCTGTAATCCCAGCACTTTGGGAGGCTGAGGCAGGCGAATCACTTGAGGCCAGGAATTCAAGAACAGCCTGACCAACATGGTGAAACCCCATCTCTGCCTACAAAAAAATACAAAATTAGACCCGGGCGTCGGGTACCTTTCGGTGTGCGGCCTGTAGTCCCAGACTACTCGGGAG